TAATATAATATTACATATTATATAACATATGATATTATATGTAAATCGAAAGATAACTACGTAAACAGTTATTGTTGTACGTAGTACGTGAAATATGCGAACAAATATTGACTCTCCCATAACTTACTACGTGAGGCACACTATAAGTTTCCGGAATGAATAAGAAAAAAATACTGTATATGGTCAGAAATGAATTTATTGTTTCTCAAAATATTCTCCGTGCATGTGCACTTTTTTATGCGAATGAAACAATTTTGAAAACATTTATGCCACTCCTACGTGACAATCTCTTAAACATATTTTTCATACTCTTCGACAGCCTCTTTAGGTGATGAAAATCGTTGACCGCGTAACTAGTTCTTAATTTTTGGAAAAAAATAAAAGTCACTAGGTCGGGACTGTACGCGGGATGGCTTATAAAGTCAACGTTCCCTTCAAAAATTCATTTGTCTGTCTAGCCATGTGAGAACTGGCATTATCGTAGTGCAAGATGGTACGGCGTTTACGGTTATTTTTACAGAGTGTGTCAATTACACCCGGCAAACAAATGGTCGTGTTACAATCACTATTTACGATACAACGATTCTCCAAAGCAACAGTAGCCACGTGTCCAGTTTTATTAAAAAAGAAGCAATCATCTACTTAGAGGCACTTTGCACGCGCGCCACTTTAGTTGGTTTCGGCTCATCTCAAAAGAGCGTATGGGACGCTCGATTGTTGCTTTGTTTTAGGATCGTAACTATAAATCCATGTTTTGTCACCTATTTCTATGACCACACCAAATTTGACGCCCCTTCGTTGAATCTGGTAAGCATGGCATTGCACCAAGTGACACGATTCGTTTTTTGAGCCTCAGTCAAATTGTGTGGGAATCACCGAGAGCACAGCTTTTTTACACTCAAATGTTTGTGTAGTATTTATTGTATTTGACTCGTGCCTGTCCGTTTTGATCATAGAGCGCACAGCATCGATGTTTTTGTTGTTCATAGCAGAGGACGGGCGACTATCACGAAATTCGTCACTGAGAAGATAAATAGTCGTCTTGAATTGTCTTTATCTCCAAAAGCATTTTGAAGCTGAGCGAAGCTCCGCTGAGCTATTAAATTACACTTAAAGTCGTAGAAAATCATACTACGAAAATTTTTACGAGTTAAATCCATGGTGATGGACAACCAATTTCTAAAATGACGTCACAGTGTAAAAACAAGTGACAGTCAGATAAAACAAACTGTATTCTACAGCCAAAGAGTTCCATTTTCAAATGTTGTAATTACTTTTTAAATATTGTTTATGTAAGTGACCAGTTCCGGAAACGTATAATGCGCCCTATGTAACTTTTGTTCCTTTTACGCGGAGCCCTTTTGACTCAGCAGTACCTTAACCTATAAAAGGTACAAAAAAACAACGGAGCGGTAGTCACGTGCCTTCTCCCGACTTACGGCGAAATAAAACAAGAATTAAAATATATACCGTTATCAAAAGTTTTATTTTATATTCTGTTTTTTATTGAGACTATAAATTTAAGAGTTATCCGATGGCGCTCTGGGCCGATAACATAGTAGTAAAACCTGGATGGACCAGAGACGGAAAGAGCGAAAGGAGGCCTATACCCAGTAGTGGGTGATACAAAGCTGAAATTAATAAATGAATGAATTAGACCCTTGATTGTATTACTTTGAAGAGTCTTTGTAGTATTTTTCAAGCATGCAACACCGTAGAAAGCAAATTAAAATTTAATTAACGAATACTGGTAGTAAGAAAATTTACTTTGGGCGCGGACCTACAAGTGAAAGTTTGTGAGGTGTTATTTGAATAACCGAAAAAACATCCAAACACGAATACATGGTCATTTATAGACCTACTTGCGTACGTAACGCATCGTGGATGTAGGTTATTAGTAATTTATTACACAGCTCCTACGTACTTGGATGAAAATCCGTGGTAGTGACCCGTTTAGCTCTTACTAGTCTCGATCTAAGATGTTTGAAATAAATATTGTAATTATGATAAATGTATTCAAATGTATATTTACAAAGACCAATCCCTAGAGCTTCTTGCTCATTATTTTAAGGGAAATCTGACTTACGAATGAGGAGAAGAGTTTAATCTATATGACGATTTAACATGTACTTTGCTTCCTTATGAAAAACATTATTTGTCTTTGACTTCAAGTCTTAATAGGTATAAAAATAATATACTTGTTATATTAGACCCTAAGAACGCGACGTCGATGTTGACGCGCGTTATCTGCACGTATACACGCCGCAGACGCGCTGTAGTCGCGCGTATGTATCGCACATTTTGATAAGAGATAGTTTTAATTTTAGTTTTGTTTGTTAATTTCATAAATGCAAAACAGCTTAAACTGTTTGGAATCGTTTTAAAAAAATCTAATATCAGTCTTGATATTGGAAATGCATAGAGATGTCCTGATTTACATTATTTTTCGTAATATGTGAGCATTTATAAATGCAACAAAATAAATTCAAAATCTCATATCTATCATCCCGAATATTCCCATATGACATTGAATATTGATCTACTTTAATTAATCATTTTAATCATACTTTGATTACAGTAAACTATCAAATTATTTATCTATTTACTTATCGATGATTATGGTACAACACTAAAGAAATCAGCCATTTGTGGTCATTGACTTACAAATTTGTGGTGGACATTTTTGGTTTAGGCTGGGACGTTTATTCCGTAGATACGGCAGCTCCTTTCCTTAATTTTTTTCCATCCTCTAAGGTCTCGACTGATATTAGAATGGAGGTTGAATCAAATTGTTTTGTTTTTCAGAGCTGTTCGAAATTTGAATGTAATAATATTCTTTTTTTATTAAGGCTTTGGCAAAGCCATCAGCCTAAACATGAAGTTTAAATATGTTTTCGTAAATATGGCCGCCACAAAAAGGATAGGCAATTTGAGGCGGCGTGCTTGGATTGACTCGGGATTCCTTAAAACGGGCCGATACGGGTATTTTAGTTCGAAATTCGTATAATTTCGCGTTTCAATCTTCGATTAAGGCACAATAGCACTATCCTATTCCACTTTAAACTAGATTTCACAAAATAATTGAAAGTCAAAATAAAAACGACACTTTTCCCTCCAAAAGGTCCAGAGCGAATCTGAATGTAATAATAACACCGAATTTGATAGGATTATGAAGCAACAATAACATTTTCACAGATAATAAATTTGTTCTAACAAAACCGTTTATCTTTATGCTGGTGGTAATTTGCGGTTTTTGAACACATGTTATAGGGCTTATGATATGTGTGTAGATAAAATTAATTAATTATATTATTATAATTAATCTGATTTTTTTTGACAAAAGTATTTGATTAATTAATAAATTTTATCTACACACATATCATAAACCCTATAAGATGTGTTCAAAAACCGCAAATTACGACCAGCATAGAGATAAACTGTTTTAGTAGAACAAATTTCTTATCTGTGAAAATGTTATTGTTGCTTCCGAATAACATCGAATTCGATGATTACATTGAAATTCCGAACATCTCTGAAAAAAAAAACAATTTGATTCAACCTCAATTCTAATATCAGTCGAGATGAAGTTTTATTCAAAATGAAATGTCAATAGTAAAAAAATTTCACAAATTTCACACGTTACTTGATATCGAAGGATATGATAGTTGGCGCGGACTCTAGTTTGTCTATGAATTAAATAAAAACTACGGTTGTGTGACATGCGTGACAAAAGTTTTTATTAGCCACCATTTCGCCAGTCGTAACATCCTGAACATGAACTTTGTAATGAGAAAATTATTTGAGATTTTTTGTGAAATAACACAACTAGTTTTGTTATTTTTATGAATACAAAGATCGAACACACAGAAAAATCTCGTCGACCCAGTGGGACATGAACTCACGTCCATGTTGCACCGTATTATAGCTCTAACCATCTGAATCACGGGTCCAGTTACCAAGTCGTCGAAATTCTCTTATGTGTTTTTGTTATAGATTTGAGACATTTTTGCATAACCTTCTCATCGCAGCCGGTACCTTTATAAGTATCACAACTGACGCAGATGTCGCTTGCACCGTAGTGCAGCATGGACGTGGGTTCGTGTCCCACCGGGTCGACGAAATTTTTACGTGTGTTCGATCATTGTATTCACAATCATCGTAAATCTTTTAATTGTTTTTCGAGGTCCATATTTTTATCCAAATCTTTAATAACTAGGGAAAAACCCTGTGTCGCGGGTGCCATGGACACACACATAGACAACCACAAATTACAAACCAAACTCACGAGAGAAATAAATGTAGGCCATACAAATATTTGTACCATTTAAACCATTTATTTACCACACACAGTAATACGTACAGAACATAATAATAAAACAATATTGTGGGAACAACAACAGTGTGTGGAAGGAACAGGCTCAGTATAATCCTTGTGGTTGTATGCCTCGCGGTACTGATTTGCAGCCTGACCTTGTTGACACATTGTTTTTCAACATAACCACATTGTACCGGCTTGGAAATCGAACCGGGACCTCTGCGTGGCAGTCCGGCATGGTAACCGTTCGGCGACAGAGGCATTTGTAACTATGTTTGGTTTCTCTATCGTTTCTGACGCATTAAAATGAACTTAATAGCGACATCATCTAAAGCATAAAGCCTTTAAAATTGCGCGACTTATAGAATAAAGCGTTCATAATTAAACACCTTGTAGATACTCTGTCCGTGTTATTGACTAGCACAAAACCTTTACAATATTGCATTGTTTACTCGTTAAGAAAAGTAAAACAAAGCACAACGAGACAAACATTTTACACAACAAACAGACAGTACAATTTAAAATACTGTCTGAAATACAGCTTAAAATAACTCGCAAATGGATCTCATTTACGTACAGGCACGGTCGTAATCAGACTACGACTCTGGCTTTCAGGTCTTTTTAATCTATTTGTGGGCCACAGAGTTCCCACAACGTGTTGGTTTATGGTAGTGATATAACAGACCTTTGCTTCTGCTTCCGCAACCGCGAAAGTTCCGCACGCTTTTTCACATCTGTTTCCGTTTCTGCTTCCGCAACATTTACAACGGTACTTTAATCGGAATTTTTACGTTTGCGACGAATTGCTTGGCGATGGAGCGTTTTTAGTAATATTGCGTTGTGTAATAATTGTACTCGAATTATGAAATCAAAAACAAGCCCTGTTGGTAATTTTTTGGTTGGTGTATTTTGCTGAGTTCTTTATAGTATTTACACTTCTAATTTCCCCTAGGATTTACTTTTGACATCTGTTTCCGTTTATGTTTCCCTTATGACACTTCCGTTGCATCACTAGTTTATAGTCGCGGTGGGTAAGTAATCCATGGGTGGGAATAAATAGGACCCATTGTAAAACTACTTACCAGTAAGCGTGCACATCCTCCGAGTGTTGATATCCTGCATTACCTGCCGCATTAGCTGGCTAAGGGCCTTCGCGTCCCCCGACATTGATTGCTTCGACAGCCACTCAGATTCTAGCTCCATCGATAACTGTTCAAAAACAAAATCTCATTAATTTCATGGAAGATTAGAATACGTGCTTTTTATTACCATTATATCGTAATACCGTAACAGGTGAATGTACGTAGACGAACGCGTTTTCAACTCGATGATTGCCTTGGGTGCATTTTTATAATATTATAAGTGACGGCACGAACAAGTCGTGCGCCTGATAGTAAGCTGCACGCCTGTATATAACTGTTGCAGTGCCACTCAGAGCTTTAAGTCGCAAAGATCTGAGGGGAGATATAAGTTGACAAGTCCCATTTGCCTGTAATTTCCTTTAATTTTTAATCAGTAAAAAAAAGAGGTTTTGAATAAATAAATCCCTAAATAATATGGATGTTTGGTTTAATTTACCGGCCTTTCTTTTTACACATGTATATTTTTACTTTTTTACGACCTCTGTGGTCGCGTGGCTTGCAGACCGGTTTTCACGGTGTCGCCATCTCCGAGGGCCGGGTTCGATGTCCGGCCGGGTCAGTGAAAAAAAAAACTAACTTTTCTATATTGTCTCGGGTCTGCGTGTTTCTGGTACCGTCTTTGTTTCCGATTTCCATACCACAGGTGCTTTTACTACTTTGGGATCAGAGCAACGCATGTGATGGTGTCTAATATTTATTATTTTTAATTGAGACTCTAAAATTTCCACACAATTAGCGAATTTTCATTCGGCTGTTCAGAATATATTAAAGGCTAAGAAGTTCTGAAATAAACCTTACCAAGTATTCAGTGAGCTTCTTGACGAGGGGTTCGAGATGCACGGTCCGCGCCCACGCATCGCACACAAAACACAGGTTAAAATAATACGCGTTACGAGCATATTTCTTGTTGTCTATACGAACTGGAAACCCCAAGATCTTCGAGCCAAGCAGCGTGCTGGAAAAAAAGATTCATAAATAAATATGATTGCAAAAATCAACGTTAACACGTAATCTTTAAGAGAGCAATAAAAGGCAATTTGGGCGCCATCTGGCAACATGACGTGAGACGTATCCCTTGTTTCCGTGCAATAAACAAAAGAAGTTAACCTATGTTTATGTGTGAGAGTTGAAATAAACTAGGTTGCTACAGTGGGCCTTTATGATGTAACGACATTTGTGACAGCTCGTGAGTAAGCCTTTTGGTCGGTTTTGTATGTCGTTGTAATTTGTAGATTCTCCTCTCAGTAAATTCTGTCGAAATTCACCGGTAAATTTTTGAGTAAAAACGCGTGTGTTCCGCAACTTGACATTGGTGAAATCATGGATTACTTCGATGGGGCCATAACATTCAAAAGAAAAAGATGAAGAAGGCTTTTAACAACACAAAAATACTACTGCAACAAATGCAACAAACTAGTGGAGTAATTTCACAAAAAATAATTGAATATCAATTGAATAAAAATTTGAAAATACAGTGAATAGCGACATCTCACGCCATCTCAGGACTGGTGGCTGTAAAGGTACTAACTGGGTGATCAATCTTTCATAGATTTCTCATAGATGGCGCTACGACTAAAAAGTCGTTGAAAAACCAAATACAAAGACACGACGCAAACACATAGAAAAATTCGTGAGGTCCGCTGGTTCGTTCCGTGGCTTAGTTGATATAGCGTCTGGCACGGTAAGTTAGAAGACGTCGGTTCGAATCCGGCCGGATCGAAGGAATTTTTTCTGAGTGTTCGATCTTTGTATTAATAATTGCAATAAACTAGTGGAGTAATTTCACAAAAAGCAATTGAATATCAATTCAATAAAAATTTAAAAATAAAGAAATAGTTATTTGTTATGCAAGGCTGCAAAGTTATTGTTTGTTGACACAAGTGCTTGTATTGAAACCTGAACAAGCGAATTCCTGAGCGTAACGAGGGTCAAAGGATCAAGGCACGAGACGCAAAACAACTTTGCTGCCGAGCGAAACACACAACTTTTCACCTTACTATAGCGAGGAAAATGGTAGATAAAAGAAAAACAGCTGAAGTATAAAACATCAGTTTTTATAAACAAAATTAAAACTTTAACTTCGGATGCGTTCTGTTTTTGCATCTCATAAATTTTTATTCTTGCTTGTACTGACAATTTTGTGTGGTTAAGTAATTACTGAAATCATTTCAGTTCTTCGACGAATTAAAATAATAAACGCAATTAGTTATCACTGACAATTTTATGCCAACAATAACAAGAATAAAATATACAAACGTATTTACATTACATAAATAAGCAACGTACGACAAATCGCGTAGTTGAACGTGTCATTATCTTTATTTTTCATCGAAAAAAAAAGTACCACTGTCCATCGTCAGGTTCGATTTTAAAAAAGCTTTTCCACGCTAGCGTGCAAAAATCGCTTTTCCACGCAGATTTCTAAAGAGAAAGGAAGCCTTTCCGAACTTTGAGGTAAAAACGTCATTTTGTAAGCTACAGCTCGTTCACTACGCTGACCTCCCTGAGAAGAACGAGCAAGAAACTCTAGGGATTGCTCTTTTCAAATAAATGATTATCACTATACAGGTTTCTCACTTTCAGTTTCGAAGTTTTTGACTTCAGTTTCACGTGAAAAAATTTTATGACAACACATATCGACATATCGGGAAAATAAAAAAAAACATATCGTGGCATAATTATAAATAATAAAAAATATTATAAAAAGAAACAACCAAAAAGGGTCAGGTACGACTGGTACCTACTGTGTACATTTTGAGCATTGCATAGTATGGTAGTGAGATGTGTACAATGACAGACAGAATCCATTGGACCGAAAGAAAAGCCAATGAGATGATAGTATTAAGAATTTGAGTAGCAGTACAGCTCCTTGTGAAAGAGTACGTCCAGTGAAGTACTGCCACCTTACCTATTTCTGCCGCCAAGTAGTTTTTTTTTTCAACTAAAAAAGTGACTGTTTGTATTGTGTTATGAGCAGCTTTTTGTTTGTCTACACATTTTTGAGATTTGAAAAAAGATTCGTACGTTTGTTATAAGAGGGTTCCGTTAAAAGGCGGACTACGCAATTGTTTGCTACTCTTGCGTTCAAGATCGCACGGAACGAATCGACTGCTACGACACGCGAACAGACGATTGGGCCAGCGCAAGGATATCGAAGCCTATGCGCGCTGACCGTTCCCTAACGCGGAAATTCAATAATCGCAACCTCTTTTGACGTTTGTATTATGCTAAACACTAATTATGTAATTGATAGATAACTTTAGTAAATTAGAGTTGTTATTACTTTGTTCTTAGAATAATAACGCATAGAAACCTAGCCCGCACACGCTAAGTAAAGCAAATTGAAGCGCTCCCAAAGGGCCTACACGAGCGGGCGGGCCTTCAGTGCTCAAGGTCAACTTGCACCGCGAACAGCTCAAGAATTTTAGCTAAAATGACGAAATGTGCGGTAAATGAGTGTAAAAGTACGTCAGACAAACATTAAATAGATACTAACATCACATTCCACAAGGAAGTAACGCGTTTCAACTTGTATTTTTATATAAATATTCACTAAAACCGAAAATTAACGTACTACTAAAACTAGCCTACATGAATTTGATTTTTGCCTCACTTGTGACAGTTCGTTTGATATGAAACTATCATTCTATGCGTTATTATTCTAAGACTTTCTTATTATTATTGAACATATCGAAAAACACAAAGAAAAATTCCTTCGATCTGACTAGAGTCGAACCAGTCTGTTGCCACACCCGGGCCGCCGCTCTTACCAACTGAACTACGGAGCTATAGTATTAAAAACATCATGATCAATAAAATAATAAAATATGTTTTTCGACAGTTACGCCCAATTATGCTGACGATGATCTACTACTAGACCACCGTCAGGACATCGAAGGGTGCTGCTGAACATAGGTCCATAGGTAGGTAGACATCTATCTAGGCAAGGTCAATAAGTTGTATTCAGCTAGGGGACAGTCAGTGTTGGGTCGTGGAGAAACAACCATGTTGAAAAGATCATAGTTTTCAGAAGTCATATTTAAAGAAAAACAAATTTTCCAAAAAGTCGTTATTTCGAAAAAAAAAATTTTCGAAATAATTTTCTACATTTGACAGTTGACACCTGTCAAATGTACAAAATGTTAACTGTTTTAAAGCCATTCTTGAAATAAATTTTAAAAAATTACCTAGGATTCTTTTTTTTTCACTATTGTCCAATCATTTGAAATATCGTTTTTCTACAATTTTATTTTATAATTCACGATAAATAAAACTTCGAAAGATATTTCTAAACAAAGAACATAATACTATGAGCTTTCGAATTATATTTTTACAATTTTTCAAAAAAAATTCCAGTTCAATTTCCACTAATTAAATTTTTAGATATTGACATTTCACACTTGTACATTTATCTACGTTTGTTATTACAAACAATACAGAAAGGTCGAGAAGTAGCTTGCTTGACTCAACTATAGAAGATTGTTAAAATGTTTACAGAAAACTATAAAATCTGCATAAAATAGGAAGAACGATAATTAAAACTAAATATCGGCACTCAGTTACACCATTCTATACACAAGGTTTTGTTTTCATTTATCAATTAACCTCTTTTCAATGTTTGTTTACGACTTTATCACTACCTAACTCAACGCGTGATTATAAGTTCATTATCCTTTGTAACCATGATAAAATTATAAATACGTTATATGTAATGAAATTAAACACATATGTGCATTGTTTATGTTAATACATAACTCCGATTACAGTGCAGGTAGGTAGTGAAAACTTACACGGTCAAAGTGCATCGCTGCAATTGCACTTTCGGAATGATGTAGTGGCTGACTGTATCAAAAATATCTTTTGATATATAGTTCTCTGGCACTTGGCAAGTGATCTTGGGCCCCGCAGTTGGGTGGAATTCACACAGAAATATGCAACGGATAGGCCCTTCTTGACCACATCCCTCAAAATATTTCGCATTCCCATCCATTGTAATTAAACTACACAAATATAATTTACAACACGATAATCACATATATCACTTATATACACTATTCGAATTATCTAACGAATTAGTCTATAACACTACCATGATTTCTTTAGTAAGATTTCCAAAAGTGACACACTAACACGTAATAAATAAACGTAAATAAAACAATTTTCTAAAAAAAAAACCGTTTACCCCCAGCTACAAACCAAGCACAACTGACGTTTTTTTTATCTCAAATTGACACTGACAGTTGATCGTATTCTCTAAATAATGAATTGAATGATTGATCAATTCATACAAACGCCTCATTGAGTTACCTAAAATACTCTATTAGAGCAAGTTGTTTACTACACAGACACCTCATTGAAAACGTTTTTGTACTATTATTAAGAAGTAAACGCAGTGCAATAACGATTTGCCTTAAATTTGCTTTTTAAAAGTAAACTCAAAGTATTGTGTTCTGCAATAAATAAAAAAGTTTCGTAAATAAACAAGAACTGCAATTAATCTAAATTGAGAAACAATGTCCAGAACTGAAAAAAGACCATATAATTTGCTTGTAGCTGCAACTGGAAGTGTAGCCGCTTTAAAAATACCAGAGTTGACTAGATCTTTGTTGGCTCTAAATAAGGAGAACCAGGGATATTACTTTGAGGTTATATTTTGATCTTTTGGATACAAATTGAGTGTTTTATTATGATAATACTTTATAAATGTGGTTTTTTCTAGGTCCACCTTATAGTGACAGAGCATGCGAAGCATTTCTTCGATTCTGAGGAATTGCCGCCCAACGTTGTTGTGTATGACGATAGTACCGAATGGCAAGCTTGGAAGAATCGAGGCGACCCTGTGGTGCACATAGAACTGGGCAAATGGGCCGATTTGATGGTCATAGCGCCTCTAGATGCCAACACTTTGGCGAAAATGGCACAGGTTGTATTTTTGATTAACTGTACCCATTTTTTTGGTAAAATCATTAGGATCATGCTTAACTGTTTTAAAGTTGCCGTCTGTTCAACTAATATATCTAAGTCCCTGTGTACAGACCGCTTTTAAGAAGATAGCATAAGGTTGTAGTCCATGCTGGCTCAGATTGTAGTTTGTAATTTAGGTATAAGGTATCAATAAATACACAATAATTAATATACATGTGTGGTCTGACAGGTCCGTGAACTCAAAAAAGATTTTTAGTATGGTATGGTTTATTTTTCTACATCTCTTTTTACTTCAATAAACCTTAATCAGCAATATCCCAACTTTTATAGGTTTCATATTTTGAAAGTAAACAAAACTAAGTTATTTCTGTACTTTTAAATATGGAACCATTAAAAAAGGTGTAGTTTTTTTTTTTAAATGGGACAGTATGGGGAAAATAGAAATCATAGAAGATACAAAAAAACTGTCATAAGAACCACTTGTCTTTTGTGAAAACAATTTTGGCATAGTTAATTATTGATCAAGTGTGAGTTGTCCATAAAAATGAATAAAATTGATCAAAATTTTTTTTAGTCTGATTGACTCAGTTTTATGTAAGGATAATTTCATTGCATGCAATTTATTTAAATGGAAATCTGTTGGCATACTATGGGTTAAACACCTAATAATGTTTGTCTCTATTGGGGAAATAAATAATGTGGTTGTTAATTTTTTTTAATAAAATATAAGTTCGTATTTGACCTCCACTCACCTGATGGAAAGTGACGATGAGGGCGACGATGGAGCATGCACACCTAAATAATGCCTATTCACACTCGCCATGAAAAGGCCTAAGTTATAATGTTCAGGGAACAAATCTGCAGGCAGGAATTCCACTCCATAGCTGTTCGCCATGTAAATGTGGAAGCGTAACGCTTCGTGCGAATCTTTGGAATATCCACAATATAGGGGTGGAACCCAAGCCTACACCTAGTCCCCCGGTGATGGAAAGGGGAAGACGGAATTAAATTGTGTAATTCTATCGCACACTCTCCTTGATATGTCCTGTAATATACCGATAAGCATACAACTTTACTGAGGTGTTCAAGGCTCTGCAGCTTCGCCTCCACTGATTCCAAGTCACCTATAAGCCTTTTGGCATGATTGTCAATTGAATCCAAAGTGGCCAGTTGATATGTAGCAGAGCCATCCCAAAGGTGGCAGCAGTATGTACAACCATATATGAGCAGTACCAAGTACCAACCATGTACGACTGGACTTAATAATAACGCACGCATTCATAGGGCAACCCTCTATTGGGGGTGCCATGAACAGACACATGACAACCACAAATTAAACCCAAAATCACGTGAGAAACAAATGTAGGCCATGCTAATATTTCTCCCAGCTAGGGAATCAAACCTAAGACCTCTGCTTGGCAGACCAGCATGGTAACCATTCAGCCACACACTAAGTTGTATATTTTATTGTACTATAACGTATTTATCCAACATTCCAGGGGATCTGTGACAATCTCCTTACATGTACAACACGAGCATGGGATATGAAAAAGCCCCTCCTTCTCTGTCCAGCGATGAACACTCGCATGTGGGAACATCCTATCACATCCAAACATATCGCTACTTTGAAGGAATGGGGTCACATTGAAGTGCCACCTATCAGTAAAACGCTAATGTGTGGTGATAAAGGAATGGGCGCAATGGCTGAAGTTGAAACTATTGTAAAGAAAATTAAAAGCATTTTTGATGAGAAGGCCTAGATTCTAAACTTGTATGTAGTATCGAAAAAGACATAAGGCCTTACGAGAACATGTTAAAACTGGTGTTAACTTGAAATTTGCAAAAATGTAGTTTAACATACTAAGTATTGTCACTCTTGTTTTCTCATTCTTTTCAAATGAGTCATTGAACATTGGTTATTTCTTTTCAGTTACTCAAATTGATATTATATTCAATTTTGTAATAAAGCTCTTCTATGTTGTATAAAGTTTATATAAGTACAGTCTACCACAATAAGCGCTCCACAACCAGTTTAAATGGGTGGGTAGACATGAAGGCGCCTTGTGTCAACTTAGAATAGAAATGTAAAACTGCTGCTATGGCAGTGTGTACTATACTGTATTGAAATGTTCAACATGTGAGATATTATATTAGTTTCTAAACAATTTTTGTCATGTTCAAATGGCATAATTGATTGCAAGAATTTATAAATTATAATTGTGTAAATATAATTTGATAAGTACACATTTGGCTGTAATTGTTTCCTATTATTAGTATAAATACGCTAGACTAGTGTGGTGGCTTTAAATGGGTCTGATAAGTGACTCAAGTTGTAGAAATATATAAGCATTAAACAAACTTTAAATTCCTTGTGAAAAATAAGTTCTATCTGAAATTTTTGTATAATTCGAAACGCAAATTGTAAATATATTTTTTATATTTTGTTAATAAAAACATTTTTTTCGCAGTAAACGTGTTTTTATTGCATCACCGAATATTGTATCTAGGGCTAGTACATGCGAAACATAACTTAGAAACCAATTATAACTTCCTAGTATTGATCATGTACAAAATAACTATACAGAAAAACATTATTATAAACTTCTAAATTTAAAGTAGGTTTGTTTCTAACAATAGATTGAAAGTCGCTGTTTTGTCGAAGGAATTGCATACGTATTGCACGACTTTAAAACTTAAATAATTTGTATTGTTGAGATTTTTTGTGAAATAACTCCACTAGTTTTGTTGTGATTTATCATCATGATATCAGCCGGAAGATGTCCACTGCTGAAAATAGGCCTATTGTTATGATTATTAATACAAAAATCGAACACAGAAAAATTTCTTCGATCCTGTGGGACTTAATCCAAATCCATGCTGCACCTTAGCATTGCTCTTACTAACTGTTACAGACCTGTGGCTCAGTTGGTAAGAGCACGGTGTAGCATGGTCGTGGGTTCAAGTCCCACCAGATCGAAGACATTTTTTGTGTGTGTTCGATCTTTGTATTAATAATATCATAACTTAAATAATTATTAGCAAAATGGTTTGTTGAACGCTGAACAAGTCGTGCGCCTGGTGGTAAGCGACACGCCTGTCTATAGCAGTTGCAGTGCCACTCAGAGCTTTATATTGCAAATATCTATCTATAGACATATGTTGACAAGTCCCATGTGCCCGTAATGTAATAAATAACAGTAATAATACTGCTCCATTCTTTACCGACCTCGGTGGCCCAACTGTTTGCTTTGTGGGCGCTGGATGACCTTTAGGAATAAGGAAAACAACTTTCCTAAATTGTTTATGGGAAGTGCCTCAGAGTGAATACCATTGCTCCGATGCTAATACTTATTTATACGTAATTTGGTGTGGTTGTCTGGCACATTATCTTTTTTTGGAATTCGCAAGAACATCTTCCGTTTACTGATATTTACAAAAACTGACATGGAATTAATACAGATTTTAAATGGTTTTCAATGTATCCCTTTAAAGTATATGTTGAAAAGCAATATAAGATACAATAATATATCTGCAGGAAAGATACAGGACTAGCAAAAAATTGCATCGCAAGATAACGCACCCTTAATAATAAAGTGGTATAAGTCGAGAAGCAAATTTTTTAAGAAAATTAGTAATTCAAGGAATGTGTAATGTAATACTTTCATAATCAATCCATTTTTATCATATTTGGCACTAACCATACATAGAATAAAAATAGATGATTAGTGCCATATACTTTGTCACTTTAAAATCTATCTTGGCAGTTATCCAAAAATTACATAATTATGTTATAAAATTAATTACGTGAATTCATTATTGAATGTACGATATAACCATTGTTAGAAACAAAACCGATAAAACTTGAAACATAAACTTTACACAAATAATTCTAATAATCGTACAAGATATTGTTTAATTTATCATGCGATGTTTGATTAACAATAATTTTATCCGTTGAAACAAAATAACCCTGTTGTTAAGAGTCTTTCTTACTACATTATTCCCGTCAATTTTTCTTTGCTCATATGGTGTGTCACCCAATACTAGGCACTCTGGATAATGTGCTAGATTAGGCGCAAAGACTATAAATCTTCACTGACTAGCTAACGAAAGTACCATTGGTGTTATTTAAATAACTAATTTTAATTTACTGAGAAGGTAACGAGGAATTCAGTGAAGAAAGAAAACTAACGGGAACAATAAGAATAGACATTTCTTTTAAATAAAGGTGGTTTGAAAAATGTCATGTAGTGTGCAAAATAAAATAATTAACAAGCAAAATTATTCCAAATAATGTGCATAAAAGCACCATTAATGACTAAAAATAAGACTGCATTCATAATAGTTAAGGCTTTTTTTAGGTCTCGTGAACTGTTGCAAAAACCAGGGTTAAATATCTTATTTAGTTTCAGTTTTATGGTTAAGCAAAATCAGCGTAATTGACATTAAGACAAGGAGGGCAGAGTAGAGGAATGCCATTTCAAAAATAAATTGCGTTAGCAATGGAAATTAATGTGTGTGGAGGCACACAGTACAGTCCGGTAAATGATCTTAAAACTTTTAATTGAAGAGTCTAAATTTTGTTTTATCAGAAATCGAATGTCACCCAAGTCTTTCTTGTAAACTTTAACTATTACGTACGCAGTTAGAATACAATATATTAAATTATTTACCAAATCTATCATCGTCAATTATATTATTAAAAAAATTTTATTATTTCACTTTAAAATATCGTGTAAAGGTACTAATTTCAGAATAACTATAATAACGAATTACAAAGTGAAATTTCGAAAAAAAAAAATTGTCAACTTTATAAATTTTAATCGTATTAAATTTCACCCAGTATTATTTAATTAGTATACTGCAATTCACTTTAAGTATATTGAATACATAAAAGTACTATATGCATATGAACATACAATATTTACACAAGTTTGAAATAAATTCTGAAATTAGTACACTTGTGGCGAAAAATATATTTACAGAAATAATGCTACATTTAAAAAAAAATCGAGAATAGCAGATCTGTATTTGAAATGAAAATAATGCTTAAGCAATATTAAAATTACGACTTTTATTGTGCACTTTGTGTAGTCTGCTCGCATAAAGACGACACATACTACCGACACATGATAACCAGTCATATTTGGACCCTGAAGTGAAATTGTGGAGGCCTGTACAAACCCGTGAAAATAATAAGTTGTTAAAATTATGCAACACGGCAATGGTCAAATCTATATTATCACGTATCGCGTGTCCGTGGGCGCCCTAGGTTAATGTCCTGGTTGTTGCGCGTGAAACATAACGTTCATGATTAAATAATGACAGTTATGCGTTATTCTATATGTATTTATTTCTTTAAGGTATAAGTCGTCTATGTATGAGCAAACTACATAACTTATTAAACTTACTTTAATCGAAATCAAAATCTACAAAACTTACTTTCAAATACGTGTCATGTAATATTGAATACAAATTTAAACTTTATTTACAATACTTTTAAACTGATTTTTATAAACTGGAACGCAATATAAACAAATGTTTTAACTAAAAATGCAAAAATTAAAACAAAAAAATGTATATTTTGAACTATCACATAGGTACAAAATGCTACAATTGTATAAATGCAATATAATTTTAATATTATTTTGTTTATATAACGAGATATTTGTTTATCGGTTAATATAATACCATGTATATATGTATTTATATATTTAAGGACACTGTCACATTACTTCACTTATGGGGGTTAAATAAACATATATATATATTAGTAAGTTAGTGTTTTTGCAAATTAGTTTCAAGTTTTTTAAAAGTGATTATAAAGTTACTTAAGTTTTAGGTAGAAAACTCAGAGGTATCCTAGAAAGCGAACAAGAAATATATCAGAAAAACCGATACCTCCAATGTACACTACTAATTTATTAATTTTTATTTCACAAAATTAGTATTTTTTCGAATTATGTTTTTTTCTTTTTTTTCACAAAATTCGGGGAGCATAATATTAGTAAATAAATATGGCTGGCAGTCAGCCGTGGCCCGAAACGTTGGTTTGTTTGAAAAACTAAATATACGCGATTTAAATTCGGAAAAATATTTTTATTTCCTATAAATATGGCTGTTTACATTAAAATGACCAAAAAAATAAAATTGGCATAGTGTTCATTGGAGGTATAGAAATGGGCAACAAGTTCCGTATGTCTAAATTACAGAAATTACCAACTCATATCCAAGAAATATCTAACTTACTAACACATTTATGTTGCACTACCTTATTTTAATATTACATGGGACTATTCAAAAATCGGTATAGAAAACTGTGCGTTAACTTTACAAGGCCATTAGTAAACTAGCTGGACTCATGCGTCCATAGCCGTACCGTCAAATTTCAATTTATCATTTAGTATAAATTTATCGTCTTTTTTAACATAGTAAAACTACAGCCAAGTTCGTGTAGGTAAAAATTTTGTCAAACAAGTGGATTACGGCTTGAATTCGACGAGGTTATTGGTAAAAATTTAAATAAGTGGCCAAGCTCGTATTGAATGATAATTGGCGTGAACTTTCTGTGAATGGTACTTTTTAAAATTACTCAAAAAGTGTTACAGGTACGCTATGGACATGAATAAATTCTAAAAAGCTAAGCTTTTGTATAGAAGTAAAATTACGTGTAAAAATCCTCCGTACCAAAATACTGGAATAGCGATGTATAGAATGAATTTCAGGCGTATCAAATACTACGTCTGCGTGTATTACACTCTTACATTTATTGCTTTAATATCACATTCTTTGTGCGTTAATTTTAAAAATTTTCCTTGTGTTAACTTACAACATTACTGGGTAGCTCTAGCATGACTGTAAATTATTGTTTACCAAGATTTTAAAAACGTAGTTTTGGTAAGTTCATTCGTGTCACAATCTGTAAATGTGTAATACACGCTAAACAAAAATAGGCACATCGTTCAAACGACGGTTTCGTTTTGCTTATCAAACATAGCTCGTGTATATTTCGATATTACGTCATAGGTAGATTTGATTAGCTCACATCGCTCCTCCACCTCGACGTCAGAGGGCGCTACTTTATATGACGAACTTTTCGGAGATTTCGACTTGCGCAGAGTACCGTTATACTCGCAAAAATCTATTTTATCATCAACATTGTATATCGAGATCGACTTGTTGTTCTTATGTACCATATCTAAGTCTTTGCGGCGTTTCTTTTCACTTGTATCTTCCAGTGCGTCACTGGAACCTGGTTCGTATCATACATCCAGTTCTTCTAATCCTTTTGAGAGTCTGTGTGAGTTGATGCGGCGCCTATGGGATCTTCGTACGGCATCCGCACGTCGGTAGGGTTCGCTCCGGAGCCCATGTAGTATGTCTTCTAAGGCACCGTTATATACTTCGTCTTGGTGAAGGAGTTTCTTTTCGCCGACAGCCTGAGATTTCGTTTTTAGCTCGTTGATTACAGCTTCCTGTTAATCAAAGTTGTAAAGTTAGATTTTTGTTTTAAGGTTAAAAACAGACTACTAACTGACGATATATACCACTGTCTACTACAAAGTATGACAAGTATTACAGGGATGGTGAATGTACAAGAAAAATACAAAGAAACATTATATTAAAAAAAACGAGAGTATTGAAAGGTTTAAATTTATTTTTAAAATAAAGAGCTTCACACATCGGTTATTAAACAAAATCGACAGTGCGAAGTTGACAGAGATGTCAATTTTATATGGAAACATCACAAACGGTGGGTGGAGCTCCGAGCTACTTTACTAAGCATGCTATTTACTAAAATTAATATAATTAGTAGACAAACACGCACCAATAGGATGCAACAAACATGTTGAATATACTTCTACTTAAGGATTTACCACATTTATCTACACGGAATCGCATTCAACTGATCAGAAAATGCTTTTATATCCATATAAAATTACTCAAAACTCATTACAAAAACTCAAAAAATCTTATGAAGAGTTTACTAATCTAGTGTAGAAATAGATTTTTCAAAGATACGGTAAAAAAGTCGTCAAAAAAACAAAACAAAGATCTGCAATAGGCACATAGAAGAATTCGTAAGGTCCACTAGTTCGTCCCGTGACTTAGTTGGCGTAGCGTTTCGCACGGTTTGCCTAAAATTCTGTTTAGTTTTTTGTTATTATTATAGGGTCCACTGAAAATCAGCGTCACAACCTTGTCCCGGCGGTGACATTAGCTGAGTGGATCCTATTACATACGCCACAGCCGCATACATGACATCTACTTAGTACAACAATAGTGTTGACCAGCTTTGTGGTCGCATAATTATTTATTGCTAAGATTTTATTTTTAATTGATTTTATTTAGTTTTCTTTTTTGTTATTAATGAATAATTAATATTAATATTATTTTTAATTAATATTAATGAATTATGTTATTAACAGAAAATGTTCTGTTTGTTTTAGTTTTAATTTAGTTCTGTTTTATTTTTATTTATATTTTTACTTTTTATTTTTTACTGTTTATTATTGTGTTGTGGTGTTATGTAATAAATGTATTCTATTCTATTCTGTTCTATTTATTAATCGTTCCTAATTTTATTTAAATAATGTAGAGTTTTATTATTAAATTATATCTAATTTTATTTTAATAATGTATATTTTAATAAAGTGATTACATAGTGCCGTCAGAAAGTTGCAATGCCCCCACGGGGTGTTACATGTCAAGTACCATTAACATAAGGTTATATAACACTTGTTATATCGATATATAACTTGCAAATAAAAAATATGAATATGAAGACGTTGGTTAAAATTTAGCCGGTTCGAAGGAATTTTTTCCATGTGTTCTGTGATCTTTGTATTAATTATTATAATAAACTAGTGGAGTAATTTCACGAAAAAAAAACTGGCTCAAGCCAATTCAGCACAAATAAATGTGGTAACTGCCTAATATGTATCACGATCTCTACAGCTAGTAATATGGCAAAGTTGCATTCACTTTTTACCCGACAATGCAAGGAGAGTTATGATTTAGTACAAAGATGCAATAAACATCTTGTTTCAACTTTTACAAAAGCAAATCATGCCGTCATATTTAAAATTAGTAATTTACTCGATTAGGCAAGAGGTATTACAAGTTAGCAGCTGTACCCAGTAAAGTTAAAATATTTATCATATTTTAATATATTCATTGAGTAAATAATATAAAATATAAAATAAAATATAATTTCATTTTTTTGAAAACTGTTCTGACAAATCATTACGGTGACAACCGCGCTCCGATTGGCCAGCCCGAATTCGAAACAATTGACGGGTGTCGTCAATTGTTGCACTTCAAATCGACCAGTTTAACTTGAGCTTTGCTATAATGGACGAAAATTGAAAAATTCCACATTTAATATTTAATTACCGATGAATTGTGATTCCGTTTGTTTTGTAATTAGATGTTCTGCTGTTTTCCCCACACCACCGAATGGAACAGCGCCTCATAGTTAGAGATATTATCTTTATTATAATAAATACAGAATATTTTTGGAATATACGGCGACGTACACAGGTCAGTTGTTGGCGCTGTGCTATTTCAGCTTTCTAATTTGTGATTCAAGTGAAAACGAGAGTTGATATTTGAAAGTAATATAAGGCCCATTTGCCTGATAAGTTGCCAGGGATAGATGACCCTTATTTCGTCTCCATTTCTGATTATATACTCGATGAATATATTAGATTCAAAGGTAATAGTTTAAGTTAGATAAGGCTTACAAGTAGGGTTAGAGCCAAGTATAAACTCTTCCGATCATTTTGGGAAGCGAAGACAAGGTTAAATATTGTTACGAGGAATAGCGCTGAGGAAAGAGAGAGAGAGAAAACTAATTACATCGACGTTAAAAAAATGGAGCGAGAGACACTTATGTTGAGGATTAGTTATACCATGGATCAATACTCAAGAGACCTGCTAATCTCCAGTATGGAGATTGTAACTCTGAAAAAGGTCGAAATTCCGTCTTATAATCTAGATGGCGCTGATCGAAAGCCTGGAAGTAGTTTATATTATGTAAACGGCCGCAGATACCAATTAATTCACCTTTAATACGAAATATAAGTTGTCAGTTTTTTTTTTCAATTCAATTTTCTTTCAAATATCGACTATGAGCAAAAAGTATTTTCTGAACTTTGACAAATAAGCAAACTAGTTTACAAGTTAACGCTTGCTAGTATGGGTAGATAGCGCCAATCCTAAACAAAATAAAACAACACATAAAATCTATGTAAAAAGCGCCATTTAGTTTTTTTCTTATATCATCAAGTGACGGGACGAATAAGTCGTGCGCCTGATGGTAAGCAACACGCCTGTCCATAACAGTTACAGTGCCACTCAGAGCTTTAAATTGCAAGATCTGAGGGGCACTACACTGCGCCCGTCACCTTGAGACACAAGTTCAAGTCCCATGTGCCTGTAATTTCACCAGCACCCTTACCCTTCAAAACCAGAACACAACACAGATGCTGACATTACTGCTTGGCGGCAGAAATAGGTAAGGTGGCAGCTCTACCCTGGACGAACTCTTTCACAAGGAGCTCTGCTGCTACTAAAAAGCTGTTGTTGCTGTTAATTATCACTAGAAATTAGTAGCTTTGATAAATCGTAGTTTATCAATTATTTACAAATTAGTTACAAAAATAGCCGTTTGGTATTCGTCGCGACATCTGTTGTACTAATAGGTACTATAAACCCGACTACGCTGTCTTGTAATGCGATTAGCAGACCACTTCAAACATTAGGTCATGGTTATACCGATCTAAATTATCCACATATTTTACTACAGTGTAACTAATTTTCAACCAAAGTGTCGCTTAACACCTTTTACCCTGCTACTATTGTTATATCCTACAGAGAAATAATTATTTGATCTAAAATAATCGGGACTTAATCACGTACGAACATGTTTTTATTTACCTCGACTTTTCGGCCGTGTAGTAACGGCCATGGTTTAGACTTTATTGGAAATAGGGATGCATATTACAATTCGATTTTTGTGAAGATCGGTTTAAGTTACGATCCGAAAAATCGATTCAAAACAAAAATCGTACATCCATAATTCTTTAAGGATTATTTTTAAATCAAACAATGTTTAAAAATCGTGATAATTCAAATCAATTACATACAGAAATAATAAACTGATTGCAATGCCCAAGATCTATGAGAACTTGGCGTCGCCTTGTGAGCACTGCTGTGTCCAGGTTTTATAGTAAAAAATTAAACCATCATCAAAAAATTAAACAATCATGCCCAGTAATATAAGATCTATGGATTAACAAGAATTCATAGGAAACCTAACTAAGTACCACTACCACTTGACACATATTAATTAGAAATGATAATATAAACAAGCGCTACAAAAGATATGATACTGGTACTCACAAATAGATACAGGATAACGCGGTAACTCAATAGTAAAGTGACATAATTCGGAAAACAATTTTTGATTTTTGGGAAATTGCTATAAGACACTGTTTGTTTTTAACCGACTTTAAAAAAACGAGGTTCTCAATTCCATTGTAAACCGATATTGATGATTATTTTTCTGTGGGAAAGAGGGTACCTCAGTATTGGTCCCATTTAAATTTGAAGAAAATATTCCACCTATAAGGGTGGTTAACTAGGGGATGAATCTGGTTTCGCGCACTTTCGAGTAACCGATTACAATAAAACTTGGCAAATAGATTTACATATGGAATTACACGAACTTTTGAGGTCAGTTTTTTCATCACGACATTTTTCTTTACTGAAAATCTCATGGCAAATTTTAAAGTAAATTTTGCACATAGCAATTAGGCTAACACTGCTGTTTGTCACTTAAGGTTCTTTACCTCTCACCTGCAGATTCGTAATTTTTTTTGTTAGTTTCCCTAAAATGTTACCTTTTTGAATTACGTCACTTCATTCTTGAGGCCGTGAATAAAAAAAATACATATACATTAATGTACTTTTAGCGGAAGTATACAAAATACACATTCCCTGTTAGGTTTCCATGCACAATGCAGCGTTGGAAGAAAATAGTATCGTCGGTAAATATTTGCTATAATATACTTAAATAATACATTTGTTTATTAAACATAAATACGTAAATTTAAGATGTACATAGGTGTGTAGATACATTGGTAGATCGCTTAAATCGCACGGAGTCACATTACTTCACTAATGGACGTATTTTGACGAAAATTATTTATTTACATGAAACATCGAGCTTTTATGTTTTCGCGATTACTATTGGAAAATTAAATCATTTTATTTATTTTTCGAATCTAAATTGCGTTTATTTGTTTTTTCAAACAAATCAACGTTTACGGGCTCTTTACAGCAGGGTTCATAGTGATAATAATATTGATAAATAGACGTTGATCATTTTTTTTATGATACCACGTGACAGTACGAACAAGTTGCGAGCCCGGTGGTGAGCAACACGCCTGTCCAGTTGCAATGCTACACA